AGTAATAAAAAGGTCCTTAAAAATCTTAAAAGGACTTAAATCGTTTAGTTTATTCATTGAGTTTATCCAATTGTACTAGAAGTATAATTGTATTAAAAATATATAAAAGTATGAAAATAGAATGGTTGAAATTAATAAATATAGAGTTGTGGCCACAACTAAAACCAACTATTTCTTAAAATGATAAAAATGAGGTAATAATGTTTAAAGCATATAAATAATATGCAAAATGAAAAGTTTGGACATATTAGCCTAAATTAATTATATTAGAGATTCAATCTTAAGTGGAGATAATTATCATAAAAAAAATTGAATTCCAAAATATTTGGTTAGTAGTACTACAAGTAGAATGGATTTAAACCCTTACTATTACACACCAATTATGAGAACCCAACTTTGAATTAGTAACCTCTAATTACAAAGTTTAATGGATAAAAATAAGTTATATTATGTGTTGTTAAATACTAGTAAAATCCATTCAAATTTTAGAAACTAGTGTGATCCATTGCGTGGGGAAGATGAGTTTTTATACTCTTAATGGAGTTTTAAATGTCTAAAGTAATGGAGACATAATGAAAACTTTACTTATATAAACATAAAAATGATGCCGCTTCAACAAGAAGAATTATGGTCTCTCTTGTAAATGCTTACGAATAGGATAAGCACATGGCCATAATTATGCTAAAAACGGTTATAACCTCTGACAGAAGAATAAATAAGTATTATGTGTTATAGCTTTAATTCTAATACTAAGAGTTGATGTTTAATCTGTGCGCACCATCAATTTCGTTAGAATTTTAAGATATATACGTTAATTGAATGTTTAAATCGAGAGATACTTTCTTGTATTCATAAGATTTATTTGTGTGAAAAGTAAAAATTAAGCACTAACATTCCAAACTAATAAGAAATTATTGGTAGTTAGAATGTGGTACATCTCACATTGGATAGAAAGATTTAATTATTGATGAATAAAATTAATTTTTGTATTAATTTTATTCATATTTAAATAATTATATTTGAACAAAAATAATTATCATATGACAAATAGTCATAACTATTTAAATATAAATAAGCTATTATTCATAAATGTCATGATTATATAAAAGGTCATAACCATCTGAATAAAAGTTTATGTTTGTTCATTCATTATAAATAAATCTTTCAGTATAACCATTTTCACTGCTTCTGATTGGAGAGTTTGAGATTTTATTGTATCCTAAAGGCATAATTGCTTTTAAAAAAGTGTTCTTCACACCTCAAAGCCAAAATTCTTTTATATTATTTCTCTTCTCTTATTTATTTTTTCTAACAGAAGATTCTAACCTTTGTCTATCACAACAAATTTGTCATTTAGTTTTCTCGTCATCTTTTTTCTTCCACTGAATTTCCTTTCATGATTCACCCCCTGGAACTTATAGGGTTCCATAAGGCAGTTATTTCTTAATCAAATTTTTCATTGTTTAATTTATTAAAAAGAGGGTATAGACACCCAATTTTATTTGGAGTCTGTAATCGAATCTTAAGTTTTATTCGAGATCTGTAATTGAATTTTGGGTTTCAGGTTTTTGAAATACCCATTATTTTTTAATTGGCTTTGAATATATGGACTTACGAGTAATTTTGGGCTTTAAGCCCAACTTGTGTTTTGGTATTTGGGCTTAGAGCCCATCATCAATTCCTTTTTTAGTTTTACTATTTAAAAAAAAAAAGGAAAGAAAATAAAAAAATTATCAATCCAAAAATCTGAAAACCAATTAAGGTTTGGGATTAAAAATCATTTATCACAATTAGGGCATGGATTAAAACCCAGGCCAAAAATTATGCAGTGATTAAAGTTGATAGATTTAATTTTTTTTTAATCAATAAAACCCTAAACGAATCTGAAAAATTTGATTTCTTTTAATTAATGAAATCCTTAAGATTTCTGGTAAAAAAAACCTATAAATGGTGCCCAAAACCTATTCAAAAATGAGGATACAGGTTAGACAAAAGCCAAAGAGAGAAAAAGAAAGAAAATTTGACAAGAAAGTTTGGTGATTTTTTTTTTTTTTAAGGTATTATTTTGATATTTTTGTTTAGAGGACATTTGTTTTGGGATTTAGGCATAGTTTTTGAGCTAAACTTTTGAAGGTTATTGGGTTTTCAGGAGAAAGGTTTTTTTTTTTTAGAGTTTTGGGTAATTTTTTTGGGATTTTGGATTTTTTCTAAAAAATTTTGAATTTCCCAATGATTGTTTGAAGTTTTCAATTGTTGGCAACCGGTTCTTACAAATTGATTTGAATTTTTTGATGTAATTGTAGAGAGAGGGACAAAGGAAACGAGGATAGTGAGGGAAAATGAAACGGGTATTCTAAGGAAAACAAAAAATAATGTCTTTTATACTGGTGCTAAACGACATCGATTTGGAGTCCCATAACCTACCTAAGATCAGCGTGAATTCACGCACGACTTGTGTGCAGAATTCACGTAGTTATTTATTTTTTTTCATTTTATTTTTATTTTTTATTTTTTATATTTTACTTTTTAATTTAATTTAATTTAATTTATTTTACTTATTATTATTATTATTATTTTACTCATTATTTTAAATTGAATAATTTATTATTTATTTTTTAAAATGCATTTATAAATTTTATTTTATTTATTTATTTATAAATAAATAAATTCATGAATCTTACTAAACTATTGGAGGATTTTTCATTTATTTAAATTTTATGAATTCTACCAAGCTATTAGAGAATTTTATAAATCATTTAAAAAAAATAAAAAATTTTATTTTAATCTTACCAAACTATTGGAGGATTTGAATTTTAAAATTGAAAGATTTAATGCATTTTAAAAAAATAAATTTATAACAAAATCTCATCAAATTATTGAAAGATTTGCATCAAAATAAATTTTACCAAACTATTAGAAAAGTTTACTAATTATTTTTTCAAATAAAATATATTAATGAATCCGACGACGGAGCCTCTTTAGAATATGATACTAATTTTCATGAATACTCTTAAAATGAAAAAATTATCTTAAATTGCTATCAAACTATTAGAGTAAATTATTAGGAGATTTGCATTAAAGTAAATCTTACCAAACTATTAGAAGAATTTACCAATTATTTTTTCGAATAAAATATATTAATGAATCCGATGATGAAGTTTCTTCAGAGTGGGACACTAATCTCTATGAATACTCATAAGGTGAGAAAATTATTTCAAATTACTACTAGACTATTGAAGTAAATTTAGGATTAATTTCTAATAATTAAAATTATTTGGTAAATTCTAAATATATTTTAAGGCTTGGATAACTTGAAATTAAATTGGTTATCATTTTTTGAATGGGTGTTGTGAGGGTACTATAACTTTCCTTACCTGTAATCGTATTCTGAAACCTAAACTTTGGTTTAGTAGACTAGAATATAATATTTAAAGATACTAAAATCAATCTTAGAACTTTTTTTTAAATGAGACTGATTCAGTTAAGCGGTTAATTACATCTTAACAAAAAAATCGATGACTTATAAAATTTATGTCTAACGGTAAATTCATGAATCTATATATTATGACAAATGAGACACGATATTGATTCATCTTAAATTTTCTCTTCAAAAATTTAATGTCTGCATTTTTCTTCACATTCCTATACTCATTAGTTTGGCTTTCATAATTTTCCATCATATACAACTTGAAAGACTGCATGTAAACTGGTAAGAGACATACTCTGAACCATTTTTCCATGGTCAAACTCAAAGGAGAATTTGCCTTTTGGTAGCAAGTTTTGTTATGTCCGAGCCAAAAATTGCTGCAAATGGCTGCAACTGTAAATGAAACCCCTTGAGACAATCAAAAGCAAGACTGTCAACTTCATTAAGTTCTCTGCAGATGAAAGTACTTCAGTATAATTCAACCAATATAGGAAAGTGCTTTTAATCATCTCTAGGTTCATATATGTGTTCATTCTTCATATACAAATCTGCATATACAGTTATATATATTTAAAGTTTTACTGAAATAAACAAAGGGAGATACTTTATGTAATGTTTTTGGAATATACAGGGTGAGGCTTGAACAGAACGCATTGCTCTCCCATCTTTCTCACCGCCACAGTACTATATATAGGATATTCTTCCAATAAAACATCCAGTTGATAATGAAATGATCTCCATTGCTGTTGCCTGGTATCAACGGGCAAGATTGTCTCCTGGACAAGTGCACAGCAATTATTCTTTGTAAGGTTAACTAAAAGATATTCTAATGGAAAGTGGACCCAACTGAACCAAGATTGTGGTTTGGATGGTTTAAAATAATCATTCTGTGGCCTACATTTTTTGATCACATCTCATCTCATGCATGAATGATATCATCATTGAGCTCATATATACAATTTTGCCATAGACTATTCTTAATTTTTACTGGCAGACCCTTTGTACAGAATTACAGATGGATAAGATGAAATACATTAACAAGAACATGAACGCATGCATCAGGTTCTGCTCGGTGGAATTAATTATGCAGTTTGAATTTTTTACAGGAAAAAGTCAATATGATAGTAAAAAAAAACATTATTGGAAAGAAATCAAAGTTTTAACAAAAACATGAAAATTAATTTTTTAATACAACAAAAAAGAAAATGATTAAACATAATTAAAATTTGACAACTAAATATCATCTATCTATATTCTATATATCATTATTATTAAAATTTTTGATTGAATTAATATCAAATCAAGAGACGCCAACTCAGTTGATGAAATGAAAAAATTTAAAAATAATATTAAAATATGTATGTAAGGATTTTTACGTCTTTCTATTTTTTTTATTTCACATGTACTTTTTTATTTTTTTATTTTACATGCAATTTTTATAAAAAAAAAAAAAATTATCCATTCAACTTATCAAGTAATTTCTTTTTATCTTTTTCAAAATATTTTTTCCAGTATATATGTGTGTTAAAGGAAATGAAACTTCTTTTTTAAAGAGTTAGAGGTCTGTGTAATGATATCTAATTTTTTTAAAACTGTCATAGTGGGAAAGTAATGAAGATATATACAGCCATATAGAAGCACTGATGTTTACCTCTCTCTCACACACCAACACAAATGAAATTCATTAATGAATTGCAAGATGTGTGGTAGCCATCCCAAAACATAATTTTTGGTGCAAAAGCCACGTCTTCGCGTCATTCTCCATGGCCAAGTTTACTGATTCCATCTCTCTCCCAATCCCCTTCACCCTCCCTTTAAATACGCCATCAGCAGCGCAACACTGACACACAACCATTTTTCAGTTAATTTTAACACCTCTTAGGCTTTTGCCATGCCGCGAACTATTCTTCAATGGCTTAGCCTAGTTGGAATCATTTGGCTTCAATCCATAAATGGAACCAACACCAATTTCCCTGCTTACTCATCCCAACTCAAAGATCTCCTCTTCATTTCACAAATTCAGCTCAACAATCTTGCCTTTGCCTCTGATGCTGGTAAGCTATTTGGTTGGCTTTCAGGCTTTGCTGCCAAGTACTTGCCCATATGGCTGGTCCTTATCCTTGGTTCAGCTCTCGGGTTGATCGGTTATGGAGTGCCATATCTCTTTCTCATAGGCCGTATCTCCAACTTGTCGTATCGTCTCGTTTTCTTCCTCACTATTCTGGCAGGAAATAGCATTTGCTGGATCAACACCGTTTGCTACCTAGTTACTATTAGAAACTTCCCCCTGGACCGTCAACTCGCGATAGGATTGACGGGCAGCTACCTAGGATTAAGTGCTAAAATCTATACAGTTATTGTGAATGTTGTCTTCGCTTCTTCACCGGACAACAGAGCTAGAGCCTATCTTTTTCTTAGCTCTGTCTTACCCTTCACAATTAGTGTCATATCAGCACCAGTAGTTAGAGTTATTAATGTTGGAAAGAGCAAGAGGGCCAAAGCTGCATTCATATCGATTCTTGTCATCACAACAGCCACAGGAGTCTTTGCTGTCATGGGCAGTTTGGGATCAGCATCAAGCTGGTTATCACCATTTACTAGTGCAGTTGGTATGGTAGCGTTGCTATTAGCCCCACTTCTAATTCCTTTAGGAAAGCAAATCAGGCAACTGATTGTAGTAAGATTAAAGGGATTAAATAGAGAGGAAAAAGTTTATATAGAAGAGAATGTTTCTATGGAGAAAATGGAGATGGGGGTGAAAGAGAGAGAAAGCATAAGCGAAACGAGAGAGACCATAAGTGATACTTTTGAGTTAAGTTTTAGGGAAAGCATCAGTGAAATTGATGACTTAAGCGAAAGTGGAGATGATAATACAAGTGGAACAAATGAGATAAATGTCATGGAGGAGATCGGTGTGAAGTTGATGCTAAGGAGGTTGAACTTTTGGTTGTATTTTTTTGTTTATCTTTTTGGTATTACGCTCGGCCTGGTGTTCGCCAACAACTTAGGACAAATAGCCGAATCTCGCGGATGTTCAGCTTCTGTTCTTGTTTCATTATCTTCTTCATTTGGTTTCTTTGGCCGTCTCATTCCATCTTTTGTGGATTACTTTTTCTCAAGGTAAGATAATCCCAACTCCATGTAATTCCACATATACAGTATAGTTTATTGATGCATCGAGGTATCGTATTAAAGAACCTTTAAATTAATTTTGAAAAATTCAGGGGAAAATACATGATATCAAGAACTGCTTTTGTGGTAGCATTAATGGCCCCGACAGGGGGAGCTTTCTTCTTACTTGTCAACAGCACCAACCTCTCCCTTTTCATCAGCACCGCCATCATCGGAGTTTGTACAGGAGCAATCACTTCCATTTCCGTATCTTTAACTACAGAACTGTTTGGGACGAAAAATTTTGGCGTGAACCACAACGTCGTGGTGGTGAACATTCCAATTGGATCCTGCCTCTTTGGCTACCTAGCAGCTCTTATTTACCGCAAGGAAGGAAATGCAGATGGCAAATGTTTTGGCATGGAATGCTACAGAAAGACCTTCATTTTATGGGGTACCCTTTGTTTTCTTGGGACCTTCCTGGCCTTAATCCTATATGCCCGTACCCGAAAGTTTTACAATTCACAAAGATCACCATAGGGAAAGAAGAAAGAAACTACAGAAGCTAATTATATATACAAAAGAAAAGCTAGCCTTGTAAATTTTATGGTGCTACTAATGATTTAAGTCTTTTAGAAACTAATGTATTTGAGGAATCAACTCTTGGATCTTGTAATGATTGAGGAATATAGTTAATTACTTTGATTAAAAGGAGTTTTGCAAGACATTTGTTCTTTGATTTTTTTTTATATATTTTGTTGATATATATATATATATATATATTGCTCAGCCAATCATGATATTTCATTAATAAAAGGATTTCAATACAAAGTGCCACCTCCCTGAATAAAAACTGAGATTCATGGCAATTGTGAAAAAAAAAATCGGCCAGATGTTGAGATATGTATCTATATAAATATATATATATATATGAATATATCGTAATATTTGTGATATTCAAGGGTCATAATTATAATCTCGTGTTAGCATGGTAGTTGTTGCTTAGGATAAGTACGCTGGAAAATGGTATTATAAATTATTATTACTCTATTAATGTCCTATGGCGATGATGCGAAAAAGCAGGTCAGGTCCTTTTCGCAATTTGTCATTAGCGCACTCCTCATTTATTAGGACGCCATTGAAGAGGCGAGAAACAAGAAAATAAAGAAAAGAAAAGAAAACAACAAAAGAATAAAATGATTGTTAACGAATGACTACTTGACTTGATTCAAGCTGACCATACATGTTCGTATTCTTCCCCACCATCATAGCTAGGGAATATATTAATATATAAATTATATATTTATATTTATATATTGCTATCTGAAATGATCAATAAAAAGAAGTGGAAATTAATGAAAGGTCGGCCTTTAGAAAATATGGTACATGATGAGTATTCAAAAGGAAAGAGCAAAATATATATGAAAAAAGTGACTAGAATTGTAAACTTTAATATAATAAAAATAAAGTAACACTAGACCATATATATTTTGTCATTTTTACAAGAAATTGGTGAAGAGAAATCCATTAGCCCCCATGATTTTATCATCTGCGACCCAAATGCTCGGTATATCAAAATTATTGTGTGTCCAATATCAGCGCTTAAATATAAATTAATTTATAAATCGATTTGACCATATATTGTTGTTATATTAAATAATAAAATATTATATAAAATGATCAGAAATTTTTTTTGCATTAATCTATAAAATAAAGTTAGATAGATATTTCTGGGATTAGGATGACGTAAAGCTATATCATACAATTGGATGGTCTATGTATTTCCCGTATTTAATTTAACTATCATGCAAAGACGTACAAACATATATTTGTGGGAAATGGAAATTAGGAGATGAATATAACTTTTGATAAAGGCAATGCAATTTTGTCTGGCTACAAAATTCAACTTTGAAGCAATCAAAACTTTGATATTAATATATAGCAAAAAGAATGAATTCTAAGGTTCACTCTCACCTAAATTATAAACATAATAATTTAAAATAAGAACAAAATGATACGATATTTTTTCATAAAATCATACAATTCTCTTACATGTTTATCTCATATTTAATCATATAGAAATTTTACCTATTTATAAGCATACAAATTTGCCTATCAAAAAATTTTTTCTTTTTAAAATTTTTTTTTATAAGTCTTTTTATCTATCAAGTAATATATCGTCAATCTCAAATAAATCTCTTATGAGATTTGACTCATTATTCTCAATAATTTTCATCTTGATTCAAATTTTATCAAATTATTTATTTTCATGCTAGATATGTTTAGTTTCACTTGCAATGCAACTCTCACGATCATATTCTCTTATATGTCTTCATACTTTACACAAATCAATTTTCAAAACACGAGCTCGAACTTTTTTCTTGAGTCAAGTTCTTTTGGACTTACCTCTTACCGTGGCTCGAACCATACTTTGATACCAGTTAATAGAGATTACAATAGTTCTGATACCACTTGTTATGCAAAATACCTCCAATCAATTGAACATTCATACTAGCAGAAATAAAATCAAACAATCAATAAATCATACAAGTGACAATAATTTAACGTGGTTCGATCAAACCGACCTACATCCAGGATGAGAAAAAAACTCCATAATTATAGAGAATTACATTAAAACATTAAATTATATCAACCTCACTCAATTAATACCTATAGATCCTCTTAATCTCATCTAATTTTATGGAAATATTTTCAATAAAAAAAACATATACCCACATACACTATACACCCATATTTATATGATCCTCTCAGTTTCCTATAATCCACTCACAAACATAATGTTCATATACACATATAAGATGTAAATCTTCGATAATCTTATGGAGTATCTATATCATAAAACTTTATAACTGTCTTACATATTTTTTTCATACTTGACCATATAAAGACTTTATCTATTTATAAACATATAAATTTATCTATCAAAAATTTTTTTCTTTTAGAATTCTTCTTCTGTAAATTTTTTTATTTATTAAATAATATCTAATTAATTCTAAATAAATTTTTTATAAGATTTAAATCGTCATTTCTAACAATATTATCACATGTCATGCGTACTATTGGCAGCGGCTTTGGTTTTGGCCTTTGGCAAACACACGCTGTTCTAAGTAATTAAGTTTTGTTAGAGCACTTCTGCGGAGAAAATTATATATGTGGGCCCTCATGCTTGACTCCCGATGCTGATTGAAACCAGGAATCCAAAGCCAACAAGGAAAGGGAAGGAAGTGAGGCGTATCACGTCTAGATAAATTTCACTTCATTCCCTGTTAATTCTACGCGTCCACACTATAAGATTTTACTTTCTGCTTTACATTTAGCTACTGATGTAAGAATGACGCTGGGATTTGCTCATTCTCATCACTTGGGTTTTGAAGTACGGTTACTCCATGTAAATCTATAGTTAACACGAAAGAGGATGATCGATGGAGGATCATGCAGGTCCATCGTTTCGAAATTTCCCTGTCTCAGGTTTTTGTTTTAAGACGGACTTTAATGATATGCCTGCATAAAAGTAACGTAATGCAAGACAGCAAGAGCCCTTCTTCTTCTTCTTATTTTGTTGGCTTTTATTCGGATATATAGAGTAAGTTACTTGTGGATTTTCTATTTTTGAGAAAATTATTTGTGGAATCAATGACCCCTACCAAATGTTAGGCGGCATGCAGGAAGTTGCCAAAGAAACATTCATATACTAGTATTTGATACATATATATTTATCTTGGTAGTTATCATACAATATGGAGTAATGTACTTTGAAAATATATGTTCATCCATTATATGCAGAGATTTCTCTCTTTGATAATAAGTTTTAAGAGTGTTATCTATACGCAAGCATGATTACTCGATATATATACTGTAGATCATGATATGATCAATTTGAGTGGCTCTCCGTCAAATCTCAAGCACGTATATTAATAATTAGAATTGGGAAACTGGGTGAAAAAAATGATATTTTAAAAAAAATGCTATATTAAAAAAATAATATGTAAAAATGGTAGATATATATATATTTTAAAATTAGATCTTTATTTTTTAAAGTGAAATTATTGTGTAATTCTATGTTCTAAACACAATAACACATTTTAAACTAAAGAATTTAACATAAAAAGACATAAATACCTCTATTTCATTTTTTTTTCATTATTTCATTTTGGGTTTTTAATAATTACATTAACCTAGCCCAATCACCCACTTTAATATTAGTATAGATAATATTGCATAAAAAGTTAAGATTAAACCCTATAGTGGCAATGCCTTTCATTTTTTTCTTTTTCATTTGAGATTTCTCTCTCTCTCTTTCTATCTTTAAAAATATTATTGTTTTCTGGTTAAAGACAAAATATTGTAAATAATAGCTTATATTATAACAAAGGTTGACCCTCCAATTTTAAGCATTTTATTGCACTAATACCTACAATGTACTGTACATATAACTAGGTTTCCAAGATTTCCACTAGCTAGATCATCCATTAATATTCCTTTCTAATTTTTACCATTAATTAATATTTTCACTTCAGTCATTTTTGTTATCAGACTTACATTTGCCACCACATAGAAAAGATCATCAAATTAGACTAATGAATTTTTATAGTATGCCACATCTTGTATATAATATATTGAAGCCGTTGGTACATAAAACTAACGAGGATTAATTCACAAATCAATTAGCTAGGAGCAACTCAAAAATAATATCTAGAGAAAATAAATGTAAAGAATAGCTTATATTACAAGGAAATTTGAAAAAAACATTTATCATACATATTTAATGCTTTTGCCAACCGTTCTAGCCACGTATCTTCTTTATGATTATTGTACATGATTTCGATGGCTAGCCTACTACAACTCTTTATGGACCGTCCGCTCTTGGTCCTTCTACCTTTCGTTTTCACCTCCTTCCATTTATATTTTTGAGCGTCAAATTTTCGCATTCGCCAGTTTAAGAAAGATTAGATTATCAAGACTTATAATTGTGATCTATAAAAATTAAGCACCATCATCAAAGTGCATGACTTAATGAATCTAGAGTTTATGAATTCAGTTTTTTCATGTAGGCATTTAATAGGTTTTTTTTTTTTTTTTGAACAGCAAATATATTTATTGAATGATGGAACCGAGAGTACAAAACAGGAGTTACTAAAAGGGAAATTCCTAGGGTAAATGACAACTATAGCAATGGCAACAATTACAGCCAAGCTACCATGTCCTGAGATCGATAGACCCCTACTTTAGCTAGCCTATCAACAATGGAGTTAGCTTCCCTTGAAATGGGACTGAATGATATTCTTTTAATAAATTTGAAATTCAAATTCAATACCTATAAACTTTTCTTATCTTCATATTGTGGCTTTCTTTGTTAAAAAAGTGTTTGACTTAATTAGCCTGTAATAGATCAACCAGCTCGGTTTAATTACTTCTTAAACCAACTTACTAGCTAGCTATAGGAGCCACCTCAAAGATTAATGCTTTTAATTCCTCCAGGAACCTCTAATCGTGTATTTTCTTCATGAATATATAAATGTAGAAGCAGCTCGTTATGAATTGCTGCTACGTCGATCTCCATACTCTACCCTACCCTCCCCCACTATCATTTTCACCTTTTTCATTTTTTTTTCAGATGGTGGATCTTTGCATTTTCACCAACAGAGATTATCAGAGACTTAGTCAGCCCCTGCAAGAAAGGCAGCAGAGACTGAT